TAACTAAGCAAAACTTTCTATATAACACTAATCATAACCATTAATTTTATGGTTTTTGTTTAATTATTATGTTTTAGTTTTTTTTTGTTATTAACCAAATTAACCCAAAAAAAAAATTCTGTTATTTTTATTTTTTAGAATATAAATTCTCTGTTGACATAAAATCAAAAGTAAATATTCTACTTTCCGAATTTCTTTCGTAAATATTCTATATTATATATATCTACTTGGGATATAAATTTAGCTGCCAAGTGGATTTATTTATTATTATTATAACGTTATTCGTTTAATTATGTAACTGTTTTGGATAACTTTCGATTTTTTTTTGGGTCCATTACTACATCCACTTACTGTATAATACTACAGTAATAAATGAGCTTTCTATATATTATGATTCCAATGATTTATTTTCTTCCTTTTAAACTTAGTTTATATGCCATGATTTGTTTGAAACTCAACCAAATAAGTTAGTTAGGAAAATAAAAAAATGCATAGAGATTAACAAAATAAATTAATGCAGAGAGAAGTTATAATATTATATGGTCCATGTGCATGGATTTCATCCGGTCGGTTCGGTTTGTTATTCAAATGGCATATTTACATGTATGTATGTACATACATAAAATATTAAACCTATTGTTTTATTAAAGAAGTTGAGTCGTTGAGACTATCTTGTACCTTTTTTTTTAGCTATCTTATAGTATTTTACTTGCACCAAAAACGAAAAAAGTGAGACCAAGTAGTAAACATATGGAGTATATAATAATAAACCTATGGTTAGCAACAGAAAATAAAAATAATAATAAACCTATAGAAGAAGCCAAGAAGGAGAGCATCCTTATCAATGATTTTGTGTAACTATCAACCCATTAAAAGTGATTAAAAAATTGAGCCAGATGAATTTTGGGCTTGATTCGTCTCAGCCCAATGAGTCGGATGAGGCGTCTCAAGGAGGACACGTGTCGGCTGTACATTGGACCGACGATTTTGTTGTTCGCCCAAAGACGCGAAGAGATCTCATTTGGTCAGGAATTTTTTTTCTCTCTGGTTTCTTCTCCTCTGCGGCGATTACGGCGATTGAGACGACGATTCGTCGTGTTCTTCGCAGTAATCTTCGTCGTGCATGTCAATGCTCTTCTCTTCTTCTCTTCCTCTGTCTCACCATCTAGCAAATGGCGGGCTTAGATCCTCTCTCAAACTAGGGTTTGAGATCGCATCTCTCGATCCTCTCGTCCTCGTCCTCCGTTCGCGTCACTGACGGCGCTTCTCAAGCGATTGGTTTATTCTCTCCGTCCTTTCAATCGGTACATGTACCTCTCTCTATGTCGATCCA